TTTCATTGACGTCACATAAGAATTGAGTAATGGACATTACATTTATAGTGAATCTATTTGAATGGCTTCAGACTGGCTGGAAAGAAATGGTCCTGACCTCTGACGAAAGTTACCGATAGATTATATGACCTCTGATAGCTCTATATCTGACCTCTGATAGTTATTATTGATGAAACTTGCTGACTCTATATCTGACTTCTGATAGTTATTATTGATGAAACTTGCTGACTCTATATCTGACCTGATAGTTATTATTGATGAAACTTGCTGACTCTATATCTGACCTCTGACAGTTATTTCTGATGAAACTTGCTGACAATATCTGACCTCTGATAGTTATTATTGATGAAACTTGCTGACCCTATATCTGACGTGATAGTTATTATTGATGAAACTTGCTGACTCTATATCTGACTCGATAGTTATTATTGATGAAACTTGCTGACTCTATATCTGACCTGGTAGTTATTATTGATGAAACTTGCTGACTCTGTATCTGACCTCTGATAGTTATTATTGATGAAAGTTGCTGACTTTATATCTGACCTCTGATAGTTATTATTGATGAAACTTGCTGACTCTATATCTGACCTGATAGTTATTATTGATGAAACTTACTGACTCTATATCTGATTTCTGATGAAACTTGCTGACAATATCTGACCTCTGATAGTTATTATTGATGAAACTTGCTGAGTCTATATCTGACCTGAGCGTTATTATTGATGAACCTTGCTGACTCTATATCTGACCTGACAGTTATTATTGATGAACCTTGCTGACTCTATATCTGACCTCTGACAGTTATTATTGATATAACTTGCTGACTCTATATCTGACCTGAGAGTTATTATTGATGAACCTTGCTGACTCTATATCTGACCTGGTAGTTATTATTGATGAAACTTGCTGACTCTATATCTGATCTCTGATAGTTATTATTGATAAAACTTGCTGACTCTATATCTGACTTGATAGTTATTATTGATGAAACTTGCTGACTCTATATCTGACCTCTGATAGTTATTATTGATGAAACTTGCTGACTCTACATCTGATCTCTGATAGTTATTTCTGATGAAACTTGCTGATTTTATATCTGACCTCTGATAGTTATTTCCGATGAAACTTGCTGACTCTATATCTGATCTCTGATAGTTATTTCTGATGAAACTTGCTGACCCTATATCTGACGTGATAGTTATTATTGATGAAACTTGCTGACTCTACATCTGATCTCTGATAGTTATTTCTGATGAAACTTGCTGACCCTATATCTGACCTGATAGTTATTATTGATGAAACTTGTTGACTCTATATCTGACCTGATAGTTATTATTGATGAAACTTGCTGACTCTATATCTGACCTCTGATAGTTATTATTGATGAAACTTGCTGACCCTATATCTGACGTGATAGTTATTATTGATGAAACTTGCTGACTCTACATCTGATCTCTGATAGTTATTATTGATGAAACTTGCTGACTCTACATCTGATCTCTGATAGTTATTATTGATGAAACTTGCTGACTCTACATCTGACCTCTGATAGTTATTATTGATGAAACTTGCTGACTCTACATCTGATCTCTGATAGTTATTTCCGATGAAACTTGCTGATTTTATATCTGACCTCTGATAGTTATTATTGATGAAACTTGCTGACTCTATATCTGACGTGATAGTTATTATTGATGAAACTTGCTGACTCTATATCTGACCTCTGATAGTTATTATTGACGAAACTTGCTGACCCTATATCTGACGTGATAGTTATTATTGACGAAACTTGCTGACCCTATATCTGACGTGATAGTTATTTCTGATGAAACTTGCTGATTTTATATCTGACCTCTGATAGTTATTATTGATGAAACTTGCTGACCCTATATCTGACGTGATAGTTATTATTGATGAAACTTGCTGACTCTACATCTGATCTCTGATAGTTATTATTGATGAAACTTGCTGACTCTATATCTGACCTGATAGTTATTATTGATGAAACTTGCTGACTCTACATCTGATCTCTAATAGTTATTTCCGATGAAACTTGCTGACCCTATATCTGACGTGATAGTTATTATTGATGAAACTTGCTGACCCTATATCTGACGTGATAGTTATTATTGACGAAACTTGCTGACTCTATATCTGATCTGATAGTTATTATTGATGAAACTTGCTGACTCTATATCTGATCTCTGATAGTTATTTCTGATGAAACTTGCTGACCCTATATCTGACGTGATAGTTATTATTGATGAAACTTGCTGACCCTATATCTGACGTGATAGTTATTATTGCCGAAACTTGCTGACTCTATATCTGATCTGATAGTTATTATTGATGAAACTTGCTGATTCTATATCTGACCTGATAGTTATTATTGATGAAACTTACTGACTCTATATCTGATTTCTGATGAAACTTGCTGACAATATCTGACCTCTGATAGTTATTATTGATGAAACTTGCTGAGTCTATATCTGACCTGAGCGTTATTATTGATGAACCTTGCTGATTCTATATCTGACCTGATAGTTATTATCACTGACTCTATAGTTATTATTAAGGAAAATTGAAATACAAGTTTTACCCTACGTCCTAATTTTCTTCAAAATGTTTGAATAATGTTGTTTTTACAATGAACTGGGTCAGAAAATATATTAGTGTCATTTAGCTAAAAGCAAAAATTTTATCTCAGATTTCGCCTTTGTAATTTTTTCAAATAGTTTGATTGTTACGTTGTGGATGGAAAAGTATTTTCAAAATTTTTATTATAGGCCCACTAAAATTTCTAAACTAACTCCCTTTAATTTACAGATACGATCCGAGATAAGCGAGAAAGGTCGGCTGATAGAAAGAAATAATTACATCCCATTTCCTCACGTGTTGAGTCACGTTATTCATTTTAATAAGCCATATACTAATGAAATGAAATTAAATGGAATTTGACATTACTTAGACAATCTAGCAGTATGCAATGAGGGAAATTTTACTAGGAAACTCCATTTTTGAATGGCAATAACTTAAACTAAGTAATAAGTCAGCGAAGACAATGTGCTAATGAAATTAAATTAAGTTTTACATCCCTTAAGGGAATGATACTAGCAAGGGATGCGGTGTGCAATGAGGGGAGTCTACCATCCAATCTTTTTTTAATGACAAGGAAAATTAAGGATACAAAATACATCTACAGATGTATGGAAATCGAATGCATTTTGAACAGAAATCGCCCAAACTAAAAAAAAATCCAAATTGATATTTCTCCTTACAAAATAAAACGTTTATGAATCTAAAAAATATAAACTGTCAAGATTTTAATTCACAGTTTCTCGTTTTCTTTGTAAGGCATGGACTTGATTTTTTCTCTCTTGACAGTAGCGTGTGCAAAAAGGGGTGAACAAAGCATGCAAAACGAGGTGCCCACCGTGCTGTCAGAAATTATAGCCACCGACAAACACGGGTTATTAACAAAGTTATTTATCAAAGTAATATTGTTATCCATATACCACGAATAAGTCCAAAACATCTGCCTCTATTCCAGCCTCTGGTAGCTATTGTGGAAGTTGTCGGTTGGAGTAGAGTCAGAAAAACTAGGCCCTGTTTCATGGTTATTTTCCGCAACTCCGAATGTGGTGACTTTCCGACAACTGTAAACATAGCTATCAGAAGCTGGAATAAAGACAGATGTTTTGGACTCACGAAGTGCGTATGCAATTCTTTATGTAATATGAATCTCATTGCAGGAAATTGCAGTCGATTTTCTGTCTTTAAATACTACATCCCACTCAAGGAAGTCGTTTGGTTTTATATCGATATGGAGCGAAAATTGGACAATTAACTACAGTGTCTTGGATCACAAAGTGCAGTCGATGAAATAATAAACTCTTTTGTCGAAAATCTCTTTTAATGAAACTTGGCTGTAGCATCAATGAATAGATTGAATTGTTATATTATTATATGCATTTTATCAACCTGTGGTCTAAATTTTCCATTTTTTTTTTACTTGACAATGATGAATTGTGGAATAGCAAAACCCAAAGTAGGGCATTCGATAGAATGATAGTCTATGTATGTTTCGCTATACCAGTTATCAAGAAACGGATTCTATATAACACGGATAGATTGGTTAAAACTAACGTTTCAAAAAATATGTTAGATTACAATGGGCAGAATCTAAGAAAATTTAGATTTCCAACGATTTGTAGTACTCGGTCAATTTCTTGATATGCTCCCTTCACGCGGATCGACGATGGTTTGGGGAGGAGGGGTGGTCGAAGGGTGGGGTGAGGGGAGGGTTGAAGATTTATATATTCGAATGGGCGTATAGTATTTGGTTGCATTAATGGAATTGGTCGGTTGTCGGAATTTTTTCGGGGAGACAATCACTTTTTGCCCATTGGATTTTTTTTTAAACATAAGGATGAGGGGCCCGTAGACTTGGTTCAACCAGTTCCTATAGTAGTTGAGTCACTGGTGGGAAAGGGGGCGTAATGTTGATCAACAGCCGACTATAGCCCATATGGATGTTGCAGTCTTCCGAGACCTGTGTTTGTCGTAACAGTGGCTTTCTGATGTTAAAGTACTATAGCGACCTGGTATCTTGCCGAGTACACTTGTCTCGAATACAACGTTATAAGTACGCAGCATATTTCTGTATTAATATTATCTAATCTACCTTATAGGACTAATGTGGTAAACAATCTATAAATAGAAAAACCTGATACGAGGCCATTATGACTTAACTCGAGGCCCCAAACGTTTTCACCTTGGAATGAATACCCATCCTTTATCTTCGTATCTATTTCCAGGTCGCCGACCGATAACATTTCCTTTCATCTTGATTTTTTGTATTATCATCTGTTTTTTAGCAACTTGTAAATGTCCATTATATTAAAAGGGATTTTGTGCTAAAACTTGCAGTAACAACCAATCTCCATGAGCGAGGAGGGGGCGGGGGACTGTAGTCGGCAGATAGGGCAGGAATTTTTCGGCCTAAACTCTGTCATGCTTTTGAAAGAAACGTTGAATTCTAATCAACTTTGAGCTAAATTTTTTGGCTGGGGGGCAGATGGGGTGGAAATTTTTTGGCCTAAAAACTGTCATGCTTTTGAAAGAAGCGTTGGATTCTAATCTAATTTGAACTATAAATTTGTCAGCAGCCGGTATTCTGATAAGATTGCAGTGATACCATCAATGTCACCTACACGCTATCATTTGGCCACTCCCGTATAATTATCATGATATATCAGGTGTGCACGAGTCCAAATCTTGGTTACTGCATAAGGCCGAATCGCAAACCTTCACAAGCAGTATTTGCGACCGCAATCAAATACAAAAAGACACCTCAATCAAATTAAAGGGATGGTAAATAGATTTTCTAAAGTTTGTCATATTGATATCATCAATTTGCAATTCCTCTAAAACTAAGTGTTTAATGACGTCAATAATCTTGAAGGGCCTTATGTGATATAACATATTTAGCAATTTGGAACGGTGCAAATTTATCAGCGTCCCCGATACACATAAAAAAAATGAGAAACCTCTATATAAAACTTCTATCTAACCTTCGAATTTTAATTAGAACGGAGATGCCGAGACCTTTTCAAGTCGAATTTGTCTTGATTCGTCTGGAAATGTCCACGTAAGAACCAAGCGTATGAATAGAAGCCCCAACATGGAAATAATTTACTACCAAATGCGGCGTAAACCTCGAATTCTGTCAGACATGGATGAAATCTGATCTCTCCGATAAGGAAAAACAGATCAAAAAAATCTATGGGCCATAAAATATAATATTTATATATATATATATATATATATATTATAATATTTAATTATTTTTTTTATTTTAATGACCCAATTTTGAAGCACGTGCTTTTGCTATACAATATAAGATTCGATTTATAATTTCCTCGACTTTATCACGAATCAATACATTGGGACTTCTCCCGCGGCAAGTCTTTAAACATATACTGCCTTGCATTTGTGGGGGATTGGCTTTTGGATATACTCCACGCGTGGAAAATGCGTTGATGACTTTATTAGGTGATATGCCACACTTACAGCATTTTGCATGGCTGTTGAATATATGCCACACGTGGTAAATATCTCCTTCCAAAAATGGAGCGTTAAATCAGTAACTTTGTTTTCGGTTATCACAACCACAATGTTCTGACAAAGTAAAAAATGTATACACAGTGGCACCAATTCATTAGTAGACTGGTTTCAAAGATGACCACGAAAACTGTTAAACTGTGACAATCGAAGAAGATCGCTGAAAAACAAAAACATCCGCTTCTTTTCAGTAATAAGCAATGTCCTATGGGCTAATCCCGTTACTTTCCGTGTATTTCCGTATTATGTAATGGAGGTAGGCCTAAGTCACTATATATTTTACATTGTTTCAATTATCTATTTCAAATACATCATTATCATACATCATTTAAACATGGATTCATTAGAGTTAACTGGTGTTATAATTTAACAACAGAATTCCTGAAAAATCCGATAAATCAATAAATGTAAGGAAATATTGAAAATCGCTTAAGGTATAAATAGTGTTTCAATAATTACTTTGTTTTTCAATAATTACTTTTTCGATTTCCAACTTTCGAGGGATCTTTAACAAGCACAGCCTGTAATACATGGTTCCTAGGTTTATTGTCCTGTCCGAACGACTCGACGCTTTTTCCATGTTAGCCCCTCCGACCTGCATCACTGACATGGGGAAACGGTTGAAAGGTATCATCTCGACCTATGCTGGTACCTTCGGGTTAGCTGAGTCGCCGCGGCTCCGGGAAAGTAATAATAAGTTTTCGACTGGTTTGTTAGAATATTAAGCCAAATTTGTTATTGATTCGTCGTCAAGTAGAGAAGTTAATCACTTCAATGTGGAAAAGTTAAATCTTTGGATAATTAAAGATTTACTGTATATTTTTCATCCCAGCTTAACGCATTTAATTAATGACATATAAAGAAAAGAAATAAGCATGTATATAGTTTCTATTCAATTCTGATTTCCAATTCCATACTCGTTTAATTAAAGTCTTCAATTAATTATCTTATTCATGTATCTTAGAATACTTACATAATTTATTTATTTTTTTTTATTTATTTATCAATTTATATTATTTTTTTTGAGTATCAAATGAACAGTTGTTTGAAGATCACACTTCGTGAACCTCTGTGCAACAACATGTTTCAGATTCTATCATAAAGGGAAAAAATGCGCCATAGTGTTCTCAGACCTCCGAATTTGAGCCTTCAAATTCATGTGTGTCTAGGATTATCCGCGTTTGAAAGTTAAAAAGACGAGTCGTTGTTTTAGGGACACTGTCATATTAAAAAAAAGACATCTATAGAAATAAGAAAAAAAATCCTAGTTTGAGACATCTTTTGAAGGAATTTTGTGATTTCATACATTTCTAGTACTGCTGAAGACTATTTACATATATTCAAGACTTAAGACCATCTCAAACCACCCGCCCCGTCCTCCGCTCCTCTACCCAACTCCAAAATAGCGAACCTTCAATATTTCTATATCGCGCTAACAATTGATTTATTGAGCATTATTTTAACAGTGGAAATATTTTTATTCATTTTATCATTTACTTATATAAATTATTTAGTTATTTCCTTTGAATTCACTCGCTAATTATCCAAGTGGTCTTAGTCACGTTTTTCAAAAAAATCTTAAAATAACGTCGTATGGCATTATACATTGAAAAATAGCAGACTGAAAACAGAATTGATCGTTAAAAAAGGTGGAATGGGCTGATATGGAAAAGGCAAAGTGCGCAATAGGCTCAACTCGGCAGTTCTTAAAGATAAGACCAATGCTACCCGTATTTAACGAGAGAATTTAGCATAAGTCTTCTATAATCTGTTTAAATTTGAAATGAAAAGGGGGTGTAAAATTCCATTATTTCAAAATTAATTTTTTTTTTAAAATTGCGAATAGTTAGATTTATTTTGTGCGTGTGCAGAAATTGATGAATAAATTTCAATTTATATTCAACCACAACGTGAGAGGTGAAAAAAAAAACCACAGAAATAGTTGAACAACAACAATTGTTTTCTTATTTATACCTTTTGACAGAATCTAGATGAAATGGGCATAAGTAGGTTGAAATCTTATAGTTCCAGATTAGCGGGCAAGCATCATCCCTACCCAAGTCTGGCCTGGATTCGATCCCAACTGCAACTCCCCCCCCCCCCCCCTCTTAACTCCCACCCCCTAGCACACACACACACCCCCAATTCCTAAAGAATTGTGGGTCTGTCACACATTCTCTCTAACCCCTTGGTCCCTGCCCCCCCCCCCCCCCTTTCCCCTCATAATGATTCCTAGAAGCGCCAATATTCTGGGTCACGTTTCTAAAATCATGATTTGAAGAAATACAGAAAGTTGTTTATTAGAAGTTAATTAAATATAAATCAATTATATGGTTGACAAACAGAATGACTTGAACTCAATTTGCGCGAAAATTGCTCCAAAAAGGGAAATTTGGGATCCGACCTCCTTCCAGAGACCCCGACTTCCATAGACTACCCTGCTCATAATTTATTTTTCTTTTTTAAAACGATAGTTCAAAAATGTTATTATTTATAGGCATAGGAGTCTTATTTCTTTGGGTACGGTACCACTAGCTCATTTTTAAAAAACTAATGTGTAAATGTCACCAACAATTTTTTTTTGTTTTGATTGGCTGGAAAATTTTTCGAATGAAGATATAAGTAGCTCTAAATTCCGCAGCAATTGCCGAAATCTGTCAGAATTTCATTTTGACTCAAAAAAGTTGCATGCCCGAATGTGGTATTTGTGTCAAAAGATCCTACTCGAAAGTCATAGGGCCTAATCACAGTCTGCCCTCGACTTCCTCCACTCTAGTCTGCAAATTAATAATTAATCTTTTCCCCTAAATCTTGAACTTGAGCAATCGTACTGCTTCGAAACGTGAAAAATGGACGGCAAGGAAAATTCTAACAGTTTCTCAGCGACAATAACTAACGGGTTTTTAGCCCCGTGAATTCATTATTAAAATCGAATTCCGCACGTGCTGTTTCTAAAAATAATATGTAAACATTGTCGCTTACATCAATAAACCATCTGTCAAAATAAAATTCCCGATTTTGTGGACGTTTCTGAACATTTGGAACCATTTTGGAGATTTTAGAAATCATTTGAGGATTGATTCAAATTATTAAAGACAAAAAATCTAATAAAAATCGATATTTTCATGGAAATTTTTCCAACTTTGATGTAAGCGGCCAGACGACAACACATTGCCTGCAACGTGACTTTTAATTATTTCGCGTGTTGAAACGGAGATTTGTTCGGTGCACGTGATTTTCGAGATGCAGTCGACGACATTCTTTTTGGTATAAATAAACGATAACGTTGGAAAATTAGTTAATGGTTAGTCAGATCTTGAAGAAATAACAAGTATTTTTACAGTGTATGTGAAAATTCAATCATATTGCTCTTCATAGACGTACATAATAATATATAGCAGAGGATATAGCCTAGTATTAGATTTTTGTTAATACTTTGGTTGATTTTATATTTTGGAATTTGGAATATAAAATTCCTGATACCTGACCAGATGATGGCTCTTACCAGCAACCAGATTCAACAAATTGCTGAGCCTACTAACAACTATGGAACAAATAATATGAATGACAACAATAATAGTTGTTTTTGGAAAAGACCCAAAGAGGATACTGATGAAAGGTAAGCTATTATCAATTTTAAATTTGGTGGACATTTTCATAGAATTTGCATAAAATATTTTCCTTGAAATTTTCTCATGCCAAAGTATTTGGCTTTTGATCCCCATACATAAGAACTTGATACCAAGAATTATCTAGGTTCAAAATTTCAAAGGCTTCCTTATTGAAAAATCTGGCTGTCAAATTTCTAAAATGATGGTTCCAAAACCAAGAGGCCTGTTGTCATTGCTTCCAAATATGATGATTTTATGCCAAAGTTGCTTATATTCATTTTAACTTTACATTAATTAACTGGCATGTTAAATTTCCAAACTAAATAGCTTGGTGTCAAAGTTTATATTTTTAATCAGAAGGTTAATCCCTTCATATGCCACAGTTTTGAAACCAAATAGTCATGTGCTTATTTGGAGCCAGTGATAAATGGATTGGTCTTAAATCAAATAATTTTGGGATGAAATTAACAGAGTATTATAATTTAGTACCAGTATATAGCCTAGTAATTTTCAAACAAAATATAATGCCAAAGTTGCCAAGCTTAATATTTTGGTGCCAAAGATATGATTTGTTGAAAATGTCTTTCAACTGAATTTTTATTGACCAAGTACCAAATATTTCGGTTCCAATGGTGGTTGGTGCCATAGTTTCCAAGCCATATGATTATTGATTTGGTACCATAGTTTCCAAAACTGTATTGATTTGGTGCCATAGTTTCCAAAACTATATTGATTATTGATTTGGTACCATAGTTTCCAAAACCCTTTGGTACCATAGTTTCCAAAACTATTTGGTACCATAGTTTCCAAAACTATTTGGTACCATAGTTTCCAAAACTATTTGATACCATAGTTTCCAAAACTATTTGGTACCATAGTTTCCTAAACTAAGATGTTATTGATCTGGTAACGAATTGTATGTATAGCAAGCTAAGGTAGGGTAGGGTAGAATTAAATGATGTGTCCAAAAGCATACGATAAGGAACCAAAAGTTAAGGAAATTGTGAGATTTAATTTTCCATACCAATACCTACCGGTAATTGATTTTTTTTAAAAGTATACTTGTGTTTATCCATTTGTAGGCTTTATTGATTTAGTTTGGTGCAAGATTTTCAAATATCGATATGCCCTTATTTGGTATTGTCTCAAAGTTTGTTAAATTCTGAAAAACATTATGATTTGGTTAGAAAAATTCTGCAAAAAAGTAGGAATGATGAAAAGAAATCAGGAAATTTGAATGGTTAAAAAGAAATTTTTGAAATTTATAGTTTTGATGCATTGAAGCAAGCCAAGTTGCCCCTTGGTCCTTACATTGTTTGATATGGGTAAGCTTTATTGACATTGGTCTGGAGGGTGGTCTGGATAAGCTTTCAGGGGCCAAGCTAGGAATCCCCCCCCCCCCCCCCCCCCCCCCCCCCTCCCCTGTCCTTTACATTGTTTGATAATGGTAGACTTAATTGATTGATAAATGCCAGTTAAATCTTGTCAATATGTGGTAAGTGTATGTGTACTGGTATAGCGTTCTCAAAATTTCTTCACACCTTTCTAAAGGTGACAAACAGGGTTTATGACGTGACAAACAAAATTAACTTGAAGGATTTGTAAAGGAGCTGACTGTTGTGTACCAAGCTGAGAAAATACAACTGACCGACTTAGATAGAAAATATAACACCTGCTATCATACGCAAAGGAAATGTGTAAAACTTAGGGGTGGACTACCAATTAACTTGTTTAGGGGTTCTGATTGGAAGTTTTTCTGTGTAACACTCCCTTTATGAATGCTGGACAATATATAAAGCTGGGCTCAGACAGTAAGTGATAGTTGATATGACAGTACTTGCCAGTCATATAGAGCAGTATTTGCCAGTCATATCCAACTGTATTTGCCAGTCTTGTCCAGCTCAAGTTCAAAGATATCGGGCAGTGATTTTCGTCTGAAGTATTTTGTTGGTATTTGAAAAAAAATAGGAGATGTGAGTTTTTAACATGGTCAGTTGATCCAACATTTTGCTTTTTTCATTCTTGCCAAAATTTTAAATACTTTTCTTGAATTTTAAATGAAAAAATTGTGTTGGTTATTTGAATTCTCATAGATTAAGAATGACTTTACACGTATAAACAAATATACTTTAGCATTTATCATATTTAAATTTTGAATATTTCTTTGGTTTTTATGTCCCGGCTTGTATTCGAACAGTAATAATTGTATGGTAAAGAGATATACATAAGTAATATGTTGATCACATAACAACTTCATATCTTTGAATGTCAAACAGGTCTTATTTTTGGGTCAAATTAAGATAGCGATTCAAAACATGAGATGAATAATCGTGTTCTGATTTATCAGTAATGTACCGTTTAGTGATGTCGGCTTAAAGTGAGGGTGCATGCTTGCATGATAACCTTGGCAAAGACTTACCAACCTGGTAAGTTCCTTTAGGTGATGCAGTTTTAGAGACTAACATAAAAAAGGGGTCTATTTGTTCAGATAGGACAATAAAAAAAATCTGTACTACAAAGATAATTCCGTTAATCAAAATTTTGTTTGATTATTCCAAATCGATAGTAATAGTTGTATAGTAGTAAACTGAGGCCTTTTACAGATTAAAGATCCTTTGACAGTTGAAATGAAAAAAAATTGCAGGACAATGCAAATCTCCTGGGACCTGACCTCAGAATCTCAAGAGTCCAGAAATTGTATTAATGTACATGAATGGTTAATTGTTAATTTAGTTTGACCGAGTGAACTCGAAGCGCCTAGATTGTTCCTGATATTAGTACTAGTAATGAAATATTCCTGATAGTAATGAAGTCTCATGACTTACAGATTAAGAACACCATTATACAAAAAAATCATTAAGATCATTAAGCAAGTTCTTGGATTAACTTTTGTAAATTTTTCACAGAATCAATATGTAAAGTCGAAACAAAGAGAATTTTAAGTCTCGAATTCACGATTTTGATCGAAAATCAATTTTCATGGCCTATTGTTCATGATAGTTAGATGAACTTTTTTCTTTTGAAGCATGTCATGTAATTATGTCAAATTAACTTAAATTCCAGAGGTCATTATAACTATAAGAAGTCATTGCTGTAATTTCGGCTTAGGAAAAGATCCAATTTTGGCTAAAGCTTAGCAATTGGCACTTTTAATTTAACCAAATCCTGTAGTGGCTCAGTGAATTACCTGCATGCTTGCTAACACTAGGATTATGTTTCACATGGTTGAAAGACTAAGGATATGACACAAAAGCAATGGCCTTGTTGCACACTGTATGGCATTGTCTGTCCAAAAATTCAATTCAAGTGAACTTCGCTTACGAAGCAGCCAGTTTTATCTCAAAGTGATTTTAAGTTATACATCATCTTCTGGTCAATCAGGTGCCATCTTTGAATTTTGATATTCATAACATAACAATTTATTAAACCCCAACCAGTGTTTTCGAGACTCAAAGCAATATAAACTCTATGTTAAACTTGGTACCAACAAATTGTTTTAATTTTTTCAAATGTTTTTCAGATCGTTTAATTTCAACATTAAACCAGAAGATATGGAGTTCCACAGATCACGAAAAACATCTAAACAGCAACGGGTGAGTATCTTCCACTCATGGTATTTAATCTTTTAATCACCACAAATCCAAATCCCTTTCTAATAATATTGATAGATGGTAGTGGCCATGTTTTGAGGCTTAGCGTGTTAATATGTTGTGCGTAGTTATGGGATTTTAGTTTTCATATCCTGTATAGAGCACTTTATTTGCTAATTATCAGAATTATTATGTCCATTGTTTTAGACAGAAATTAGAAACAGTACAATTAAATAGCATCCCTCATGTCCTGCTGTTTCACAGTAATTCATAATTTGTCAAAAAGTGCTCATTAAAAAAGTGAAAATAGCGTGCATTGCACGTGCCCTTTTGACAGCTTTTCATATACAACTTCAAAACATGTTAATTGGAAAAGGTAAAAGTAGTTTTGCATCTCACGTGCCCCTTCTGACAATTTTAAATCATGTTAATTGGAAAAAGTAAAATTAAGAATGCATCTTTCATTTCTTGCTAATTCATATCACATGTACAAAAGGTGCTAATTAGGAAAAGTGAAGAAAGCATGCAGTGCATGTGTCCTTTTGACTGTAATTTACATACATGTGAACAAGTGGCTAATTTTAGAAGGCAAAACGTGATAATTGGAAATAGAAAATTAATTTGCATCTCACGTGTTTTCACAGCAATTTATATCATATGGAAAAACATGCTAATATTTTTAAGAATATTTTTCACAGTATCTGTAGAATTCTATTAAGAAAAACAATAAATAAGTTTGCATTCCTTGTGATACTGTAATTTATATGTTGAAAGGAAACAGGAAAAGCCTATTTGAAGTAAACATATTTTTATAAAGCCAATTGTTAATTTTTATTGCTTTCCTTGTGGAAAAAGGAAAGGTCCCCTCTTTATATACCTATATGTGGACATAGAAATATTAAAACAGAACTTGAATTATGTTGTTCACTCTATACGATCTTCAGACAACTGAATAGCTGTATTAGTCTTAGACCGAACTTGATAATATTTCAGATCATATTTGTATATGGTTAAAAAGAGAAGTCTTTGTTAAAAATTTGCTATCATTTTAGTTCTTTTTCGTAAATGGGTGAACTGAAAATACTGGAGTCTGCGTTGTGTCTTATCGAATATTCTTGTTTTCTAACTACGCCCTGATGTATTTCGGAAATGGAATTGGTCCACTTGTCTATTCTTAGCCTACTGAGCCCTTTGTAGTGATGTTCAAAATTTTGGTTGCTTTCCAAGTGAAAACTAAAAATTATCTCCCTTTTTGTAGGATCCGATGTCCCACAGAATTATTGAGAAACGTCGGAGAGATAGGATGAATAATTGTTTATCAGATTTAAGTAAACTCATCCCACATGGTTATATTAAACAGGTACTTTAACTTCACATTTTTCCCCCATTCCCCAAGCCAGGTCCTTCAAGGGTATGTGAGTCAGTCAGATGATGTACAACCCTTTCCCTATCTAGGTTGAAAAAATACTGACAGGTCCAAATATTCTCACTTGAAGAGGAAATATGGTTTCCATTGAACAGGAAATGGTTTCCATTGAACAGGAAATGGTTTCCATTGAACAGGAAATATGATGTCCATTGAATAGGTGAACTGGTTCTTAGTTGAACAGAAATGTATTTTTGCCATCGAACAGGTCCAAATGCTCTCAGTTAATCAGAAATGAATTTTTTTGCCATCAAACAGGTCCAAATGTTCTTAGATGAACAGGATTGTGTGTTTCCATTGAACAGGTGCAAGAATTCTCAGTTGAATAGGTCCAAATTTTCTCAGTTAAACCGGTCCAAATAGAGAATATATGTTCTCAAATGAACAGGAATATATGTTCTCAAATGAACAGGAATATATGTTCTCAAATGAACAGGAATGTATGTTCTCTAATAAACAGGAATATATGTTCTCAAATGAACAGGAATATATGTTCTAAAATGGACAGGAATGTATCAAATGAACAGGAATGTATGTTCTCTAATGAACAGGAATATATGTTCTCAAATGAACAGGAATGTATGTTCTCAATTGAACAGTAATGTATGTTCTCAATTGAACAGGGATATGTTCTTCATTGGAACATCATTTCTACAGTTTGGGATCCAAATTGTGGAAGATGTAAAAATAGGAAAAGGAGCAACAACTTAAATGTTCTGTGAGACTGACAGTTTGGGTTAAGGTTTTGAGGTATATTTTGTACTTGAAGATATTTTTTTTTGTGATTTTACAGGTAAATATAAACACCAGAAATAGAGGTAATGTAATTACTTTTCTTTCATTTTATAGCTTTATATCAGGTATACTTTTTTTTATTTTACCTTTTTCCCTCTTTAAATTTCATTGCATAGTTTGTGCAACAATCCTTGAATAGACACTATCTTGCAAAATGAATGAGTGAATAACTTTAAACATGTGCACAGGCATTGATGAAGTTACCATACTTTTAGTAGCAAATACATTCAATGAATGACTTTATCAAACATTTAACTTTGCTTGTTGCACATGCCTATTTACAACTTTTCAACTTTGTTGTTGCACATGCTTTGCAAGGAATTCTCATGCTGCTTAATGATCATTTTCACGCTCACATGCTTTGACATTGATTCATTGATTATTGTGAAAGACTCTTGCTTTAAAACTAGACTCATGATATAAGAAAGGTTCAAATCATGCATGGTTTAATTTTTAGTTGATGAACATGGATGCAGAAATCAACCAAGCATGCCATTCATCTAAATTGATGAGGTCGAGAACCTGCAGGTTCGAACCTTCAGGATCACTGGCATTCACTGGTACACATGACAAAATATGAAGGGAGGTTTGGGTGTACTTAGTCTGTGAAAATTGCACCCAATCGTAATGAGTGTCTATTGGGATGTATGTAAAGTTTCCGGTCTAAGGCCCGAATCTCTCCTCATTTTGGTTGATCACTTAACCAGTTACTCTGTAAAGTTGACCGACTAAAATTGACATGTGGTCAAATCTGTTGAGTATAGCTTTAATGTTGAAGTAATATCAAAGTCTGTTGCCTAATTACTTGTATTTTCTTTATTTATAACTTAAATGATATAAAAACTGGCTTGACTCTTCTAAACTCTTTTTGCATTTAAGGAATACATCTTTTTAGATTAAATATATGTGCTTGTGATGCCTTGAACTATATATATTTATAGTCTAGCATAGTGCTATCAGAGCTTCTCTTTTTTATTTCAGTCCTCTTATTTCACCTTATATTTCAGTGACACATTCTGTGATTTCCTTCAGATTTCTGTTTATATTGCCCTGTATTTCATCTCTCATTTTCTCCACCCTTTCTGTCCTCCCCATGTGCCTCTTTTGGCGCTGTGGTGCTTACTAACATTAAGGTCCTGAGTTAAATTCTTGAGATATGCTTTTGGATGTTTCAACCTCATTTCCCTCTGTGATGCAAGTCTGATGGGCTGGCATGGAAAAATTGTCTGGATTGGACACTATCCCATGTCTTACAGGCTGTGCACATTCTAGCCTCTGGAACAGTTGGCTGCGGCCATGATTCCAACTTTTGCCCCCTCGAATTTGTAGTTTTTCTAAAGAGTTTGGTGTTTTAATGATCTCATAATGGAGGAAATTGTGTACTGGTCTTGAAGTTGGTGCTCTTTTTGTTTGATGAGGATCCCTTACCTCGGACAGAGGAGGTGACTAGAATTATCATTGGCTAGGATTTTAAAATAATGTTTTTCTCTAGAAATAGAGTTATTTTGGTCTACAGGAACTTGTGAAGGTTTAAATCCAGGAATTATTGTCTGTGGCTCTTGAAATGATTCCTTATACTTATTGCCAGGAACTATATGATAATCTGAAAGTGCTGATTCTTGAGATATATGATTTCCTGATAATCTAAAAGCAGTGGTACAAATCTAATTCTTTTTTCAAAATTTCTGGTTGATTTTCTTACTGGCTTTGAGAATTGACTTTTTTTTTCATTTATAAAAATACAGGATGAATATACAGGATCTGTTGTTATTTATTAATAATTGTACAGGATCTAAGATGCTGTTATTTATTTATGAATGTACAGGATCTGAGATGCTGTTATTTATTTATGAATATACAGGATTTGCTGTTATTTATTTATAGACATACAGGATCTGAGTTGCTGTTATTTATTTATGAATATACAGGATCTGAGTTGCTGTTATTTATTTATGAATATACAGGATCTGCTGTTATTTATTAATAGACATACAGGATCTGAGATGCTGTTATTTATTTATGAATATACAGGATCTGCTGTTATTTATTTATAGACATACAGGATCTGAGATGCTGTTATTTATTTATGAATATACAGGATCTGCTGTTATTTATTTATGAATATACAGGATCTGCTGTTATTTATTTATAGACATACAGGATCTGAGATGCTGTTATTTATTTATGAATATACAGGATCTGCATTTATTTATTTATAGACATACAGGATCTGAGATGCTGTTATTTATTTATGAATATACAGGATCTGCTGTTATTTATTTATGAATATACAGGATCTGCTGTTATTTATTTATAAATATACAGGATCTGAGATGCTGTTATTTATTTATGAATATACAGGATCTGCTGTTATTTATTTATGAATATACAGGATCTGAGATGCTGTTATTTATTTATAGACATACAGGATCTGCTGTTATTTATTTATAGACATACAGGATTTGAGAGGCTGTTATTTATTTATGAATATACAGGATCTGCTGTCGTTTATTAATAATTGTGCAGGATCTGAGTTGCTGTTATTTATTTGAGTTGCTGTTATTTATGAATATATAGTATCTAAGTTGCCATTAGTTACTTGAGTTGCTGTTGTTTATGTATAAATATATAGGATCTGATTGCTGTTATTTATTTATAAATAAATAGGATCTAAGATGCTGTAATTTATATATAAATATATATAGACTATGAGGTATTGTATTTGTTCGACATATATTTATTTTAAAAAGTTTTATTTCCGGAATGCAGGGTCCACAGAATTTTGAAGTGTCAAGTAGGTCTTTATATCATTTAATGGATAAGATAGGAGTCCAGCTTTCTGTCTGTTCAGCCTGAATGCTGAAAAACCAATGGCTCTGCCTTGATTTGATGGTTCAGTAATTGCTTCCTTTCATGATTCCAAATTTAGTTCCATCATTATTGCTTAAAAAATTTGTCTTTTAAAAAATCTTGTTGAAATTAGCTTGTTGCCAAATCTTCACTTTTCGTTGTGTCTGTGAGTGATTTGTTGTTAGGTTAAAATTCCACAGAAAATTTTAGGATCAGTGCCATGGCACCATAAAATATTTGGAAATTTCCAAGGGTAAGGAAGCATAGTTGTTGGTTTTTTAGGATGGTTGCTCTTTTCCTCTACACTCAATATTTCCACACATACAAACACATATATACTTATCTACCTATAATACATTATATTTTGTTTATTTTATTTTATGTGGGCTACTTAATCATTCCGATTACTCTTTTATGTTTGAATGAGCTATGTTCTCAAAATAAGCCAATGAAATGTCATTCTTAATCAGTGTCAGTCACTTCCATTTTTGAAATCAACTTTTGATTTATTTTTACTTTTAACTTGGTTTTGCTTGTGTAAATTATTGTGACATGGGGTTCAACTTGATGTAAAAAGAATTTTGTCAGATTTAGAATGAGAAAAGTAACCTTCTAAAAATAAACCAAAGGAGTTCCATAATAATCACATGTATCAACACATCAGTCACTTTCATTATCTTCGCACACTGCTATCCCTTCTTCCTACTCTCTTCCCAACCAAAAAAATGGTTGAACAGACAGTCACATTAGTACTTGTTATGGCAGCAGATTGATTCTTTGTTTTATATTAGTGCGAGAAACTCTGACCCTATCTACAGGCTCCGACAGACTATTTTGGCGCGTGGCCTGAGAGTTTATAGGGTCAGAGTTTCTCGCACTAGTTTCTGTTAAAAGTTAAATTGAATGCTACTCACAAAAAGTTTAGCACCACTCTAACTCTTAAATTTAAAACCATAAAATTTACACTTTGAATCATTTAAATATTAATTTAGTTTAATGAAAAATTACATCAATCAAAAATTACATCAATCAAAAGTTACTTCAATCAAAAGTTTCTCCAATCAATCAAAAGTTACTTCTTCAAAAGTTTCTTCAATCAAAAGTTTCTCCAATCAAAATTTACTTCAATCAATCAAAAGTTACTTCAATCAAAAGTTTCAAAAGTTACTTCAATCAAAAGTTTCTCCAATCAAAAGTTTCTTCAATCAATCAAAAGTTACTTCAATCAAAATTTTCTCCAATCAAAAGTTTCTCCAATCAAAAGTTTCTCCAATCAAAAGTTTCTTCAATCGATCAAAAGTTACTTCGAATAAATCCTCTTTTTTTCAAAAGCTCTTTCAAAAGCTGTGTCAATCAAAAGTAAGTTGATACCTCGAATTGAAATAATTTGAAATTATTGTATCTCAAATAAACGAAATCAATTTAAATCAAAAGTAAGTTCAATCAAATGTTGTGAAATTGAAATGTTGAGAAATTAGATGTATTTCAAATGAGCGAGGGCAATTTATATAGAAAACAACTGTATTTGTACATACATTTATATTTTATATTAAAAGCTATGTTAGAGTACTTCAATCAAAAGCTACTTAAATCAAAAAGTACTTGAATTGAACCCTTCTTCAATCAAAATCTACTTCAATTGAACACTCCTTCAATCAAAAAATACTTCAATCAAAGGTTACTTGATACAAAGTTTCTTAAATTGAATACTACTTCAAGTCTATCTTAAGCTACTTCGATCAAAAGCTACTTCAATCAAACACTTCTTCAATCAAAAGCTACTGAACTTAACTGTAATTCAATCAAAAACTCTGTGGAAAGCTACATCTCTCACAAGCTGGTTTGGTTAAAAATTCTATGCAATGCTTCAATTAAAAATCCTTTAATTAAATCTTAAAATCTCTCAAAATTTATACCAATCTGAAGCTATTTTAATCAATAGTTACTTAAATCAAAGGCTCTTTCTTTCAAAAGTAAAGTGATAAAACATTTTATGAACCGAAATATCAAAATTGAAATGGTTATTAAATGTTATGTCAATTCAAGGTTCTATCAATCAATGTTCAATCAAGAGTAAGTCAATCAAAAAATTTCTATCATAGGTTCATAAGTTATGTTTATCAAATGTTACTTCATTTTAATTTCTATAAATCAAATGTTCTATCAAATGTTATGTCAAAGATTATTTCAATCAAAAGATTTTTAATCCCAAGCATTTATAATTCAAATTTTCTGTCAATCAAAAGTTGTATCAATCAAAATTTTAATCAAAGTTGTGTTGATCAAAATTTCAATCAAAAATTATTTTAATCAAAAAATATTTTTTTATCCAAAATTCTATATAACAGTCAAAAGTTCTATCAATCAAAAGCTACCAAGTCTCTAATATAGGTGGTGCTAAACTTTATGTGTCTAATATAAATCTATAGTAATCTTTTCACAGATATTGAATCAGTGATAGTGTGGGGACTAGGATAAATTGTCTCGAAATCTCCCAGCTATTTTCAACATTTCTCGTGAGTCTATGGATTGGTGAAATAGGACAGAACACAAGGGCAATCTTGGTGGAGATATTTCTTTATTTTTTAGTCCTTCACAACATTATATTTGGGAGAAATAGAACCCAAATACCCTTGGATGTCTATAAATTAGTGTTTTGGAAGCCACACTCAAATCAGTTTGTCCCCTTTATTTTGGTACGTCAGAAAATTCAGAGAATTTTCGGCGCCAAATATATAGTTCTACTCAGGGTCTCTGTTTCAATTTTAAAAATTTTATGATATTTTTTATGTTTGAACGATACCGAAAAAAACAGTGTTTTGAGCTGACATTCTAAATTATGAAGTGTTGTAGTGTTTTTGTGTGCATTTTTTTAAGCGATTTATGTCTTAGTGTTTGTTAAACAGTTTAATTATTCTTTGGTTTGGCCTGTATACTGCCTGAAATAGTTCACCATTATGGAAAAATGGATTAAAAAACTAAAGGACAAAAATTCCTAAATTTAGATATGGACCTTTTGGAATTGTCAAAAAAGGAACAGACAAAATGTCATATTCTTTTTGGAATTGTGGAAAAGACTGGATGATTGAAAACTTGTGCCGTCTTTTAAATCATAAAAGAATAAAAGAAAACAGTGACAGGATTTAAAAAGAGAAATGAAATGGTGGAAATTGAACTGAAGTTTGCATTTAGAGAATTTAGACGAAGTTGGTACTTGAAGATAATGTAGACACTTGAGTGAAATTTGACATTTCAAGACACATTGAAACATGGGTGAAATTTGGCACTTCGAGATACTGTAGACACATGGGAAAAAATATGGCATTTGGACATTATGTTGACCCTAGGGAAAAATATGGCATTTGGACATTATGTTGACAAATGGGGAAATATGGCATAGCAGGATAACGTGGACACATGGGTGAAATTTGGCATTTGGACATTATGTTGACACATGGGAAAAAATATGGCATTTGGACGTTATGTAGACACATGGGATAAAATATGGCATTTGGACATTATGTAGACACATGGGAAAAATATGGCATTTGGACATTATGTTGACACATGGGAAAAATATGGCATTTGGACATTATGTAGATACATGGGAAAATATGGCATTTGGACATTATGTAGATACATGGGAAAATATGGCATTTGGACATTATGCAGATACATGGGAAAATATGGCATTTGGACATTATGTAGATACATGGGAAAAATATGACATTTGGACATTATGTAGATACATGGGATAAAATATGGCATTTGTACATTATGTAGTTACATGGGAAAAATATGGCATTTGGACATTATGTTGACATATGGGAAAAATATGACATTTGGATATTATGTAGATACATGGGAAAAATATGGCATTTGGACATTATGTAGATACATGGGAAAATATGGCATTTGGACATTATGTAGATACATGGGATAAAATATGGCATTTGGACATTATGTTGATACATGGGAAAAATATGGCATTTGGATATTATGTTGACATTTGGAAAAAATATGGCATTTGGACATTATGTAGATACATGGAAAAATATGGCATTTGGACATTATGCAGATACATGGGAAAAATATGGCATTTGGACATTATGTAGACACGTGGGTGAAATCTGACATATCAAAATGATGTGACTACATAGGAAAAGTATGGTATTTGAGGATAATGGAAACATATGGATATAATTTAACACTTTGAGATAATGTAAACACGTGTTCATTTGTTGAAAACATTGGATTTGTGAATACATTGGTTAGATTTGGTATTTTGAGATAATGTGTGAAGGTGTGTCTGTGGATGAAATTTGGCATTTTGAGGTAATGTGTGTGTGTGGATGAAATTTGGCATTTCGAACACAGACACATGGGTGAAATTTGGCATTATGGGATAATGCAAACAAATGAGTGAAATAGAGTCTTTTTTATATATTCGTATGTGAAAAAAAACTGTATTTGTTGTTAAGTATATATGTGTTTTTTTTTCAATTATTTAAAGTATCTGTGAAAACCAGAGTCTTAGAACATAATTTTAATTAACGGGTGTACAGGCTGAATTATAATTTGCCTTTATATAAAGTTTTATTAAGCTTTTATTAAACTTTGACACTGAATAATTTGAAGAAACAGACACCCTGGTCCAACTGATATATGATTACAATTCACACAGTGGCTTCCATTTTGTGAAGGATATTTAATAATCAAATAATTCTTAATTTTCAGCTTTTTTTATTTTTTTTTTTGAAGTTTCTCTCAGCACTTCTTGAGTGAATATTTTTTTAGTAGTGCTTACTTACAGGCCAAGATTGCGTTGTGTTGGTTTGTGCTCTTGTAAGTAAGAAAATTCTTGAAACATATTGTCAATCCGGATGTGCCTCATAAGGAATGCCTTCAGTGTTCCATAGATATATTTGTAAGTATGGACAATATTGTGTCATTTAATGTAGGTACAAATTTTTATTTTTTTATGGGGACAAATACCGGGACGGTTGAATAAGAATTTTTAAATGTGCGAACATGATTTCGGCTAGTTATCATATTGTAGATTTTCACATTTACGTGAATATTTGCATCTAATTTTAATCTACTTGGGAAAATGCCATGCTTGTGAGATGACAACCCTGCAGAAGAATCTATTTAGACATTGCACAGTGATATAAAATTTCAAGAAGGGGACGTCATTTGTGTTAAACAGGGTTGGGTTTTAAAAATTTTCAAGTCCTCTGGGGGTACAACTGTGTTTTTTGTGTATATCCATATTTTCGATATTTCGTCTAAGAAACGCGTTCGAGTTTTGATTTTTTTTTTGTGTTTGGTGTTAAAATTTGTTAGATGATAATGGAAAAACAATTGTAATAGGAATTCTGACAAGAAATTGTTGTATAGATCAAATAGTATTTGAGTTGGAATTTAACCAGGATTGTACACAAGTATAGAAATTGTGCCAGACATTTTTATATATTTTTATTTTTTATACTTAAAAATGGCTAGTACAATTTTCATATTGTGTGTTCTTTCGTGATGTTAAAGGATTTTCTTACAACTTCACAAAGTTTCCAATCTACCTCTATCTTTGACAAAATTCATTCCACATCAAATGATCTTCATGTCTTTTCGAACATTCTGCGTTTTTTCTTTGGCTATGTTTTAAAAAAATTCCAAAATTTCCTCAAATTCAAAAAAAAAAAAAAAATTAAAAATTGATAACAGAATGTTTGAATAGCTTACACCATTACTCATTGGCCAATCTCTGTGAAATATAAAAAAAACCAAATTATGAATTTTCTGAAATTTTAGGGTGATGAAAACAGCAAAAGCTATCTATTTATCTTAATATTTAATTCTGTTATTTTCTTAGTATATTATATATGATTCTTTGTAAGTTTATAAGGGTTTCTTTTAATAAGAGAATATTATCTAGTCTATGCAATAATTTTATTGTGATTGCTATTTACAAATGTTTTGTGTTTATTGTCTTCAAATACAGTCAGCTAATTTTCTTTTTTTATTTTTTTTTTTTCTTATTTGATTTTGACCTGATTTCAATGAAACATTTTTAAGGTCTTAAGAAAGACTGATAAATTCAAAAATTTTATGGTCTCTTCTGATATCTTTTTCAGGGACAAGGTCGAATTGAAAAGACCGAAATTGTTGAAATGGCAATCAAACATATAACTTCTTTACAAATGCAAGTTAAACAAGGTAAGAAATTACTGATCAGGAACCTTATTCTCCAAAACGTAACTAAGATAAAATCAAAATTTTTAGAAGTACAGTTATCTGATTGGATAATAAAATCAATTTTAGTGATCAAAATCAGATGACTGGAACACTAAAATCATTTTCAGTTAAGTTATCGAGAATAAGACCCCAGGAGTCGAGAATTGACTCAAATTTATGGTATCTCAATGTGAAGAACTATCTTCACCCCCCTTTTTAACTGTATTATTTTGTATTCTGCAAACCATTTATGTTTTGAAATGTTCACAATTTCCTTTCAGTGGAAAGTAAAGGATTGCCTGCACCATCAATGGAGTTGAAAGAGTCGTTTTACCATGGTTTCCAGATGTGTAAGAGTGAAATCATCAAGTTTTTAACAGAAATCGAGGGAGTTAGTCACAACAACCCGTTTAATTTACGACTTTGTGAACATCTGAATATGAGAAAATCCCAAATTTTTGATGAAGGTAGGCCTTTCTATTTATTTGCAATTCAAATTCAAATTTTTTGACTTGACTCGTTGAAATTATGGGTCAAAAACAGTCATGATTTGTTGCAAATTGCCTGTTCAAAAACAGTCTTGACTTGTCGCAAATTGCCTGGTCATAAACAGTCATGACTTGTCGCAAATTGCTTGTTACAAAAAGTCATGACTTGTCACAAATTGCCTGGTCAAAAACAGTCATGACTTGTCGCAAATTGCCTGGTCAAAAACAGTCATGACTTGTCGCAAATTGTCTGGTAATAAACAGTCATGACTTGTCGCAAATTGCCTGTTCAAAAACAGTCATGACTTGTCGCAAATTGCTTGTTACAAAAATGTCATGACTTGTCACAAATTGCCTGGTCAAAAACAGTCATGACTTGTCGCAAATTGCCTAGTCATAAACAGTCATGACTTGTTGCAAATTGCTTGTTCAAAAACAGTCATGACTTGTCGCAAATTGCCTGGTCAAAAACAGTCATGACTTGTCGCAAATTGCCTGGTCAAAAACAGTCATGACTTGTCACAAATTGCCTGGTCAAAAACAGTCATGACTTGTCGAAATTGACTGATCCAATAGCTAGCTTCTTATTGCAATCTATATTTTCCAGAAATGTCAAAGTATCAAGATTTCCAGCATCAAAATGTACTACAAGAAATTAAGCAGTCTCGGCCCCCAGAAATGAAAGCATCACCAATTCAAGACACAGCAAAGGGTACAACACCACCTGGTGAAAAGTCTCCAGAAAGTGTTTCAAGTGATTGTAGTGTATTTCCTCCAATGAAAGTTGATAGCGATAATAATCTTACTATGAAGAGAATCATGTCTGGTTTGGATTCTTACTCAGATTCAGGTGTGTCTATTCAAAACAGCACCAATGGTTCAACCACAGGAAACCAGACTTCATCTGATGACAACGCTGAGGAGCAACAAAATGGTGGAAAGTCATGTTACAAATTTAAACATATCATACGACATAGATATTCACGAGACAAGGGCAGCGACTCATCCTCCGTCAGTTCTGGAAGCAGCGATGGCCGTCCAAGTCGTAGTCATAAGAATAATAGTTCCAATAATGTCAATAATGGCGGACAATCATGTGTACAAAGTAGCAATCTAAGAATGGATGAGAATGAATCTATAGGACTACCTGGTTTCGTTATTCATCCGACTCATACACATTATGTTCCCATCTCTGTTCATCAGTCCTTTCTTCCTGATCTTTTTGAAACTGAATCAAATAATTATTGTAATCAAAAAATTTTCCACCCCATCAGCATACCTGTTCATTTTTCATCTGCATATTCTCTTAAAGCACCTTGCTGATTCTTCTCTTGAACTTATTTTCTTAAAATTAGCAGTCCAAGAATGGACTTGATGTGGATCCTATTGGAATTTATGGCATGAAAAAGTTATAAACATTCTAAATTAGGTATATAATACCAATGTACCATAATGTATTCAACTGCAGTCCTAAAGTCCTTACTTGACTGCATCCAAAGGAGAAAAGGATCTAACTCGCTAGTTAGACTTAAAGAGTGCACCCCTCCAATTTCAGTGCATTTCTCCAATACACAAAAATGTAGTCACTGTTATCAAGACTCTATGAATGAAGTGATACATTCTAAAATACTGAGACACGGAGAAATATAAGAATTCGGAACAGCAAGATTTTATCCAGAAATATTTATTGAGCAGAAGATAAAGGATAAAGCAAGCAGCTTATCTAAAATAGAAGAGATTAGATTAGATTTTCTATCCTGTATTTATGTTAAATAACAATGTATATATGTATATTAATATTGTGGAGTCCCAGTGAAATCATAATGATAATAATAATGATAATATAATGATATACTAATTGTGTTGTATATTAATGTTATAAGCATGATTTTAACTTTATATCGAAAATACTTCCATGATACTTGTGTATTTTGAAATAAGTACCAAACTATACTCGAGTTGGATTTAAATTGTCTTATAGATCTATATTATAAGGCAGATTTTGTCATTTGTTTGAATGGTGGATTGCTTGGAATTGCTATTAGCTGGATTTGTTATTTGCTGGGAATTGTTATTAATTTGATTTGTTATTTTGTATTGATTTGTTATTGTTTTGATGCAAAAGTCAAAACAAATATTTTGGGTAGAATTTTGATCTAAATGTTTCTATTTTGCTTTTATTTTTTCCTTTTCAGGTTTTGATGGCAATATTTGAAATTTTCTAGCTATTTTGAACATTGTCCAACTGTGTAATGAAATAACGAAATCAAAACTGTGATCCCAAATTTGTCTGGTGTGGAATACACCTTGTTATATGAGGTTTGAAATTGAGTAATAAGACCTGCTTTCTTGTTGTGTTCAAAAAGGTGTTATAAACGTTTTCACACATTCATTCATGCAAATATATTTTTGATTGTTTTCACGTGATGCTTGATTATCACCTTTTGAATTTTGGAAAACAGAAATAAATTATATCCATATAGAAATGACTGAGAGATAATGAAAGAAATAGCTAGATTATTTTTCAAACATTTCAAATGGTTTGATTGATGTAACTTTTTTATTCCCATAGGCAAATACATCTGAAGTTCTTGCTTGAATTTTATCTTTGGTTCATTTTCAACATATTTATGTTTGGCTCTTTTTCAAGACATTTATCAAAAAAAAGTTATAAAATATTCACATTTTGCAATGTCTTTGTACATTATTTGGCTCAAAATGAAACTTTAAGGCTTTTATTACAGCTTTTGCTAAAAAAATCCAAATTGTCGTGTGTTTGCAAATGATATTTAAAAAATTCAAATTCAGAAATATGCCTATGGATGTATAATTTTATACATAATCTTAATTTTGATTGGTCAATCTGATTTTAAATCTGATCTCGACCATTCAACATTCATGAAATTTTTCAAATCAAATTTTGTAAATAATGGCATTATTATCATTTTCTGTATTTTTTTAAATGAATATTGAAAATTGTCTTGAGAATTAAAGATTTTTATGAAAAGGATAACTTGATGAAAATATTCTACAAAAAAGGTTTTAAAGTAATTTTTCAGCAAAATTTTGATGCTTATTCTAAGATATTCTAACAAAATTTACTTTTAGAAAACAAACTTATGGTTGTCTGTGTCTTTTGAAAGGAGAATGTGAGAAAAAACACACTATGAAGATCCAAATTCAATTAGTCAGTCCTATCCTTTAGTTTAAGAATGAAAACTTGAAGAAATAAACATGAGTCAAAGATATTTTCGGTACATTCAGGTTTGATTCAAACAAGACCAGTCTATTGTAGTTTGAGGTGGAATAAATAGTATTTGAATCTATACAAGTCAAACTTATAGTGTGTTCATTGCTATTTAACTCCCCTCATAATAATGTGAACTGTTCTTGATTATGTTTGAATCGACCTTAAATGTGCATGAATATTTTTGAACGATTATTTTTTTTTTGCTAAAAATTGGTGTATTTTGTTATCAAGGGTTTAGAGTTTACCCAAACAATCAACATTTGCCTGTGATTAATATTTTGTTGTGCCTTTTATTTTTTATGCTATAGAGCCTTTTATTTCATAAAAACTTGTTAATGAGCTTTTTTAACGAAGATTGGTCTTTGAGTCACAAAATTTTTTTTTTTTTACAATAATCGGTTCGTTAGCTTGGAATTTATGAGATTAAGATTCTGTAATTTTTTTTTTGTATAATTTTTTTATTTTAAACTAAAAGCTGCTGTGTTCGGGACGTTTGTTTGATCTTCGGTTTAAAATCCATTTCGGAGTATATTATGCTATCAGAATAGAGCTTGCCTTAAATGACATGTGTTTCAGATACGAAACCTTCAAACCTTCATCAGGAGAGTTGGCTACGAGATGGAGGCTAATTTGACCTATTTGATATAAAAATTTGAAATTTTCCTTTCTTATGGAAACTTTAAAAGTTGTAGAATATTTTAATCAGTTATCAGGTTTTGTTTCGTGTGATTATCTTTATCACTTAAAATAACTTTCTAAGAAAAAATAGAAGAATTTAAATAGCACTTAGAATGACTTTCTAAGAAAAATAGCACTTCGAACTTAAAGAAACAATACTTGGATTTAATTTCGCTTTTGGAAATGTTTACGTTGAAAATGATTTTATTTCACTAAGCTTGATATGATTTTATTTCATTTCAAGCCAAACTTAATGCGAAGGCAAGTGCAATTCTGGAAGATAAGTTTTGTAATATGATTGTATATATAATATACAAGATAGGATATATAATATGATAATGATATGGAAGGATTTAATGTGATATTTTTGTATAATTATGTAGATTGTCTGGTATAAATTGTAAGTTCATTTCATAAATAAATATTTAAAATTTCACCCAATTTTCTTCAGTGATCTAATCTTTGGCAGTGAAAATGGTTTTTCTTTAGTCTTTAGCTTCTGTGAGTGGGTAGTTTTTATAATTCCTGCCAAAATTTGCCTCTTTTTCCGCAATTGACAAATTTTTTTACATAAATTTACCCACAGGTGCAAGCTATTGTTTAAATCTTTAATGAAAATTGTCTTAACTGAAAGCTCTGTGTTAGTCTAACTATGATTTAATTTCGCTGTTCGGAAAATGTTAATGTTGGAAATGATTTTATTTCACAAAGTTGGATATTATTTTATTTCGTTTTGTTGGAAATAATTCTATTTCGTCATGATGGAAATGATTTTATTTCGTTATGATGGAAATGATTTTATTTCGTTATGATGGAAATGATTTTATTTTGTTATGATGGAAATGATTTTATTTTGTTATGATGGAAATGATTTTATTTTGTTATGATGGAAATGATTTTATTTCGTTATGATGGAAATGATTTTATTTTGTTATGATGGAAATGATTTTATTTCGTCATGATGGAAATAATTCTATTTCGTCATGATGGAAATGATTTTATTTTGTTATGATGGAAATGATTTTATTTTGTTATGATGGAAATGATTTTATTTCGTCATGATGGAAATAATTCTATTTCGTCATGATGGAAATAATTCTATTTCGTCATGATGGAAATGATTTTATTTTGTTATGATGGAAATGATTTTATTTTGTTATGATGGAAATGATTTTATTTCGTTATGATTGAAATGATTTTATTTCGTTATGATGGAAATGATTTTATTTTGTCATGATTGAAATGATTTTATTTCGTTATGATTGAAATGATTTTATTTTGTTATGATGGAAATGAGTTTCAGTTTATTTTGAATGTTTGACACATGATAGTATCTTATTTGATTTTTTACAGTATGAATTTATTTCACTGTTAGTGAAGTAGTATTTTATTTCAAATTTGAAATTTTGCATTTTGAGGTTTTATTAATGGGTAATATACATGTAATTGTAGGGCCCACTAGGTTTCTTTTTTTAAGCAATGTGATAAGAGTTAAGGGTCTAAGTTGTTAATGAGAAACTGTATCTGTATTTTGTAAATATAAATTTCTGGTATAATATTAAGAATGTATGATACATTATATATATATAACATAATATATAAGAATATTATTTACGTTGTTAAAATAGTGTATATATACCAGTGTTAATGTTATTAAAATGGCCACTTTTTTCTACACCAGACTTCTATTATTCCAATGCCCATTCATCCTGGTTTCCAGGGGCAAGTGGGCATGGCTGACATTGAAAAAACATTTAGTTGTTGGAGAATAAACCAGGGTCCTATTTGCTTCAGATCATGCATGTTGAAAATCCCTAGACAGTTGGAAATTGAAATATAACAGACCAATGTCACTGTCCTAGAAAAATATCCCCCATTGCATACTGCAGGTCATCGCCCAGGTGAATAAAAAGAGTACATCCAGCTCCATGACCTTAAAGTCACATTTGGATTTTCACAAATATAGGGCAAACAACTCAGAGCAAACTCAGTGAGTAGTTCATAATGAAAAGTGGTATCAGGTCTCTAGAAGAGTAAGCATTTCCTGCCTGGCATCACACCTGTCATAGCATGCATTCAAAATATATTCAAATAAATTTCCATAGTCAAGGGAGGGAACTGATCACAATGTTCTATTTTAATAAAATATTGTTGCAAACACTCACATCCATGAGGAAGCATTTCATAATGAAAAGTGATCAGAAGAGTAAGCATACCATGCCTGGAACCACACCTGTCATTGCTGCTCAATACTACACATAAAATAGGGAAGCCAAACAAAACTAACTATATGGGGCAATTGAGCAAATTCGTGTATGGAGCAAACAAACTCAGAGCTAATGCATGTATAGGACAAACAAACTCAGAGCTAATGCATTTTTAGGACAAACTCAGAGCTAATGCATTTTTAGGACAAACTCAGAGCTAATGTGTTTATAATGAAAACAAAACTCAGAGCTAATTTGTTTTTAGGACAAACAAACTCAGAGCTAATGTGAATACGTCAAACAAACTCAGAGCTAATGTGTGTATAGGGCAAACAAACTCAGAGCTAATGTGTATATAGGACAAACAAACTCAGAGCTTATGCAGTTTTAGGACAAACAAACTAAAGAGTTAATGTCAAACACACTCAGAGATTATGTAGTATATAAGACAAACAAATTCAGAGCTAATGTGTACAATCTCTTTAATATAACTTCATTAGGTCAATTATATTTTAGTTCACTGTGGAGTCAATGATAATATCACAGTCAATATCTTCAATAAATAAAAAACATAATATCCTATTGTGCTGCAAAAGTTGATGCCGAATCTTCCAAACCCTTTTTCCTGCAAATAGACAGAAGATATAATATGAATTAAATACATAGAAAGCTGCCCAAGAAACAGAAGCACTTCTTAATTCCTTGGTTTGAATATTTACTGTTAATAAAATAAACTGATGTATTGGAGGGACATGTTTGAATGGTTTTTTAGCTAAGCTAAGTAGTAGCCTAATAGTTTTCACAGCACATTGTCGAAATTTGAGAGTTCAAATCCATGTGTGTCCAGAATTATCTGCATATGAAAGTTAAAAAGATGACTTATCTTTTCTTAAGCCATATATAGAAAAGACATATATAGAAATAGAAAGTGAAATTCCTAATTTGAGATATTTTTAAAGGAATTATGCTTGGTAATCTCTTGCACTAAGACCCACCACGATGCCTTAACATTTTAATTTTGCTAAATTATTCAAAAAAGCCAGTTTAAAATAGAAGTGAACTGTGAGACTGTCTTGGGATTGATGAAAACATCCATCAATAAAAAATATAATAATGATCTAAAGGACTGTGCTATAGAAACTCATAAAATAAACTTGACTGTTCAAAATTCTACATACCAATTTGCTTAAGTTCTCACTGCTTAAAATTTCATGCAAAACAATGTTACTTACGCATCAGTGAAGAAAGTTTCCATACAAATCATATCATCTTCATGTCCAGTAGGTGTTTGTGAAAACTTCTTTATTCCTAATGTCTCCATTGCTGAAAGAACATAGAATGAGCAATATTTTTTGGGGGGAAATTGATGCTTATATATTTTTTATATATTAATTCAGAGACATAGTTAACAAAGAAAACAAGTTATGTTCTCAAGGATCTGGTCTACCATCTGGTCCTTTTGTCATTGATCTTTCCCGGATTATCCATACCTGGGTCAGCTAGAATTATGATGAGAACTGACTTTCAAAATAGTCATTCGATTCTTATGACAACTGTAAATTCGTTTTTTCAATGGGCAATTTTCTGGGTAAGAAAAATCACTCAAAGGGAAGTATGTTTTTTTTTCGAAAATAAAGTTCAAATTTTCTTAGCGTAGCATAGTCACTCTAGGCTATAAATAATCCATTCATCTCCATTAACCCACTTGAGTAATCAAAGACTAAGTAATAGTACTGATTAGGTCTCACAAAGTAACGATGCTACAAAAGTAAGGTACCTACCCTCTCTGTATTGTTTGACTGTAATGTGTCCTTTGCCTGTAGGATCCAACATTCCAAATACTGATCTAATATTACTATCATCAAATAAATTATTACAATGAACTTTAGACTGTTTGGATTTCTGGAGCTTTTCTAAATTTTCGATCATAAACTTCTTTGGATCATCTTAAAGTTAAAGTGAAAGAATGCATGCATGAATGAATGAATGAATGAATGAATGAATGAATCTAGATGTAGATCTATCCACTATTAAGGGGTATCAATATTTTCAATTGGGCCATAAAAGTGATAAAAGGTTCAAAAGCAACTAGGCCTAACAAGCAGAAGCTCGAAATGAAATGGAAAATAGGTTTTAAACACTAAAATTCATTACCTGGACGCTGATATATTAATTGAGACGTTAAATTATTGAATAATTCCATAATTTTGTGTTTATCTAAGTAGTTAACAGCATCATTTTCGATAGACGACATCGGTTCCTTTCCTGTGGCAGCCATGTTGTTTACGGAAGTGACACGATAGCAACTCGACGTGTTAGTTCGAAAAGGTATGTCATGTAAAAATGACGGTTATTTATAGCCTGCGTCGTCATGTTTTGCGCCCTTAGTTACTAAAATTTTTCATTTTTCTAGGGTCAAATGTTATCAATCCATAAAAAAGAGATGTCTAGCCTTAAGATTCATGTGATAACCGAATAACTTTTCTAAAGCGAAGTCCCTTACATTTTTAATGATAAACTCTGAACAGAGTTTTCAGACAATTTCCGGTTAATTAAAAAAAAATGGCGGCGCCCATCGACACAAAGCTAGAGATAAACATTTGTTGAATTAACAAGATAATAATACACGAAATCCAATTGGATGAGAGACAGTTGACTTATCGGAATAAAAGTGTAATTCTATGTGGGTGATCTGTGATGAGACAGCATTGAATTCATTACAGAAACCTTCATTCGATGAATTTCATGGTCAAAGGGAGATAACTCCACTTAACCAGAAAGTGCCAAATTACTCAAAATTAGTGTATAGCATTAAAAATGATACCTAAATCACACAAAACGGTATTTGTACTGGATCATGGACCTGTATTTAGTAAATCTAGCCAGGAACCATTAGATTATGATGTCATCAGTAAATCAAAGACTCCAGGAGTCATTCCTGCGGCGCCAATCTTCAAGTCATTGTGGACATGGGGTATTGAATGTGTGTTGGAATATATGAGAATCATTTTTGATGTGTTTCCAGCAGATCACTTGGTAATTTTGAACTTTTCTTTTAAGAAAAATATGATAAAAAACCTCTTTAGTACAGAGGATTCACAGATCTGAAATTCTCAGGTGTCATGTATTCTTTTTAAAAGATATCTACATTTTAAAATGAGAAAACATATTTTCCAATAAATTTTCCTCATTACACATTGCATGGTGTCATTCATTCACAAAAGCTCAATATTCATATCTTTTCACATGAGAAAAGCATTACAAGAGTTTTTTTTTAACTTTCAGATTCAATTGGTATCAGGGAATAGTTGTTTAAATAACTGGAATCAGAAAGAACAAAGTATCCAACATGTATGTGTATTTTTTTATGATATTTATTTTATCTACACAGAAATATTTGCAGCAATTGATGCTTTGACTTGCAAATTTATATCATTCCTAAGGCATTAAATGCCAGTACTTAATTATATTTAATTGTAGATGAACTAGTGATACAAATAATTCTTCCGGTTCATCAACTCATTAAGTGTATTAAGATGACTGTATAAATTCAATTTTAGATTTTAGTGAGCTTAGTCTTAAAAATTCTAATGTTTTCAGTTGATGTCAAGTCTATCCCATCTGGGTCCACCTAAATCAGACAGCCTAGAAGATGAATACAGTGCTATGCATGGTCTATCATTAGCTATAGAATCATTATGTAGACAGAGTGAATTACAGACCACTTTAATTGAACAAGATGAATCAGTGGTGAAAAATAATGGCCGTATCGTATGTCTGACAAATCTGAAAAGGTATTTTTATGTCCCTTTTTGACTGTTATAGTTGAGCAAATGACTTTAATAATGAAATATTCAATTGAGTAATTGTCAAAACCTGTAAATACATTATTTATTATAAGCTTACCCTTAAAAATATATTGGCAAGTATTTCAAATCTTAAATCTCCAAACCATTTCCATGACAAATTTTTGTGAAATTCTGAGCTGACTGTGTTTGGTGAGTGGTTCAAAAAAGACAGTCATAAATTGTAATTAAACACAGCAAAATATTTGGTAGCCTTGACCTTGTTTCAAAATGTAAGATGGACTAATTTACGCTTTGTTTTATCTGACAGTGAGGCTCATATCAGAATGCTAGAAGAATGTGTTTTAGATGCCGTAACAAGACATAATAAACTGGCAGGCTCAAAAGATGGGTAAGTTAATCATTATTACTAGAGCTAGTATTATGTATCTGTGTATCGATACATTGATATATGACCTGGTATGATATGATACCAACAAAACATACAAAATCGACAAAAAAAATTTTTTGTCAGTGTGTGTATAATGTTTGAAATTTACAAGAATTAGTTGTGGTCTGTAGTAATTGTATTTTGAATGATAAACTGTGTTATCTCCCTTCAACTGTATTAATGGTAGAATTTGTGATGAGAATTATGTCTTGTATTGCCTGTGATATTTGACATTTCTCTTCCAACTTTATTTTTATAATTTTGAGCTCATTTCTTTCCTAATTTCAATATAGGCATGTTTTTTGTGATATCTGTTTTTTGGAGCCGTATTCATTTCTGCATCAACATGGATGTCAGTACATTTTGGGAGAAATCCTCCTACCCTAGTTTGCGATATCAGCATCCGATGGAAGCGAATGTTAACTTGTCATCTACCTACCTACCTACCCTACCCTACCCTACCCTACCCTACCCTACTCTACCCTACCCTACCCTACCCTACCCTACCCTACCCTACCCTCTACCCTACCCTACCCTACCCTACCCTACCCCACCCTACTCTACCCTACCCTTTGCTTAAGCAAACCTTTTTGTAGAATTTGTTGCTATGAGTTGAGAGAAAATACATATATTATATTATTATGTATGGCATTGTATTATAAACTTGCCATGCTGTTGACAGTGACATATGTTTCTGATATACACGCCTCATCAGGACAAGGTTTTCTTTTATGACCAAAGAGGTTTCTCATAGAAAAACTCATTGTATTTTAAACCTCTCATGCTGCTGACAAGTGACATATGTTTCTGATATACACGCCTCATCAGGACAAGGTTTTCTTTTATGACCAAAGAGGTTTCTCATAGAAAAACTCATTGTATTTTAAACTTCTCATGCTGCTGACATATGTTTCGGAAACACAGGCCTCATCAGGAAGGGGCTGGCCTTTTATGACCATATATGTTTTTAGAAAGGAAAAGGCAATGTTTTATAAACTTTCATTTATTATTTTCATACAGACATTTTCTATCATACAACATATAAATTCTCTTATCGCATCTATTGATCATTGATAATCATCTGGTATCTTGGTGATAGTCAGTATATTAGGCAGTGGCAGAGCCAAAGGGGGGCAGCCTAGAAAGCAGGCTTTTCAGGCAAAAATCTCATAACTAGGTTAGAAATTCAGGCAGTCTAATATATTTTCCACCCCCTCTGATGTAAACCTGGCTCTGCCACTGATATTAGGCCTATAGATTTTACAATTTTCATATTGAAATTAGGGAAGTCGAACCCTTTAAATACTTTACATTTTATACCCTTGAAAAATATAATAGATAGGTTCTGTTTGATTTCACACAACCTCGATAAGTTTATGTATTTTATTTCAGCTGTATCTGTTATTGTAGTTAATAGATATTGTTATTACAACTCATTACATTATCATTCACCTTGACCTTTATTGACCATGACCTTTTATTAATATTGATTCATTATTGATCTTGACTCATTATTGATCTTGACTCATTATTGATCTTGACTCATTATTGACCTTGACTCATTATTGACCTCCAAGCATTATTGACCTTGACCTGTCATTGACCTTAACACATTGCAGGCTCTGATGTGCCACAAATAAGGTGCACCACTAGTTGAATAATACTGATGTAGTCACTTCCACTTTAAGTAGTAAAGCCAACAATTAGATGAATATATAGACACAGCTTTATAAAACAACAATCACTGGTTAAAGTGCTCAGGCGAAACGTTGCATAAAACTTTAACCAGTGATTGTTGTTCCATAAAGCTGTGTCTATATATCGTACTCACAATTACTAAATGCCATTCAAAAACTTTAATTAAATGAATATATCCCTTTAAGGTCAAAGTATACACTGAGTTAAACAATGACATTTTAAAGGGTTCAATATTAAACAGACATAATTCACAGTTTATGAGGAATGTCACAATATTTGACTCTTTCATGAACCATTATTGAAATTAATGGAAATTGCCAGGATTAAAGAGTATATATTATATATTTTTAACGTACATCTGTAGAAAATGGAGGGTAATTTTGTCTATAGTTTTAATAATATCAAGATTAAAGGGATTGTAAAAGGTTGTCTAAAATTTTTATGTGTCCTTGTATTTATGACTTCTTTGTTCATCATTCCAATTTGCAATCAGACTTGTATGGGATCTTGCAATTCATCTAAAACTAAGAAATTTTATGACGTCACTGTTGCAAAGCCTTTTGGATATTATTATTAGTTTTTGGGAGAGTGGCATAGTAAATCCTTTTCTCATTCTTAGAATTTGCTCAAATTTGAAGCAGGTATTACAGATGTATGCATAACTGATTTAATCAAAGACAAAAATACATAAATCTATTCCATAGAGTACAATCATTCTGGAATTATCATATTAATCTTCAAATTTTACTATGTTTATGCTAGGGGTATTATAAATTTGATTAAAATCTTGGCTGAGTTTGGGAAATGTTTTATGGCTCTTGGACCAGGTGGACTCAGATGCTTGGACCAGACTCTTCTTCAGTAATACTTATTAGCTGCACATAAGGACCTTAAATATTTTAACAATAATAAATACATAACAAAACACCATTTTTATTAAACTAAAAGCTTAGTCCAGATTTTTTTTTTTGGGTTTCTGAAAAATTTCATGCTTAAAGAAGACTTTAGTCTCCTTTTGGTTAAGAAAAAAAAGTTCATTTTAGACTCTTGTCTCTTTTTACATTTACACACAAATACAAGGGATTGTAAAGAGATTTTCTGAATTTTTTATGTGTATCGGGGACACTGGTAGCATCAATTTGCCCCATTCCATGTTTAATTCAGACATCTGTCTTTCCTGCAATTCCACTAAAACTAAGTGTTTGATGACCTCACGTTATAACTTCGCAATTAGTGACGTCATAAAATGCTTAGTTTTAGTTGAATTGCAGGAACCACAGACGTCTGAGTGAAAAGTTGCAAGTTGATGTTATCAGTGTCCCTGAAACACATAAACTCTTTACAATCCCTTAAAGTTTCTGCTCCCAAATCAAACGATTCCCATTCAATCCCACCGATTATCGAGGCACTATTTAGTCAGGTCTAGCAATGTTTAATATACAGTTTTCTCGAGGTAAATGTGTTTGGCGCAAAACATATCTCACAATTCATTTTAAAATCAACAATCAAAATCAATCAAAATCAACCCAAATCAATCAAAATCAACCTGAAATTAATTAAAATTAACTTGGATTGTTCACTGATCTGTTTTCAAACGATATTTCTTTAATTATCTCCCTTTGGTTTTGTCAGTTTAACCAATGTACAAATATCTCCCTTAGAATTTTGAGAGTTTTACAATTATCTCCCTTTGAATTTTGTGATTCAACAATTATATCCCTTTGATTTTTGTCAGTTTGTTCACTTATCTCCCTTTGATTTTTGTCAGTTTGTTCAATTATCTCCCTTTGTATTTGCGTCAGACGGGGGATTCCACACCAGTTCGTTCATACTCGTAATCTCGTTCAGTTTCTAGCATGCCATTGGATACAGGATCTTGTTCTGGGATCTTCTTCTCGGAGTTAAACAGAAGCAAAAAAAGTCTGACTATTAGTTCTATCAGTTCCATGATTGTCAAAACTGAGATACCCATCCACAGTCCCAAAGTACCACCAATGTCTGCGAATAAATCAGCTAATCCGTATGCCGCCATTTGACGGAATTCCACCACACTTAACCCCTCCAAATATACATTGAGTCTCAGCAGGTTTTGTCTGATTAAATTTGACGCTCGCTCTGCTTGGTCTTTGTCACTTAGATTGTAACTTTGTTGTAAAATTTCGTTGCGTCTGGTATCGTTGGGGTCCATTGAATGGTCCAAGTTGCCCAGACGCGCTAAGTAAGTGTATGCCTCGTGCATAAAGTTTTGTTTGATGGTTGTGTCGAAGAAGACTTGTAATGCGTGAAGTTGGTAGAATTCCAACGGCCAGTATGAGAGAGAAACGGCTTTTTGATATGTCGTTTCGTCACATGGCTGGTAACATTTACACGAAAATTCGTAACTTCGATCGTTGGCCATTTCGACCACATATTTTTCTTCGCATGCCAAATTTGGAACAGCAATAGTTTTGTTTTTGTATTCAGTCGAACGATTTAGAATTTCTTGCCAGTTGGGAACGACTCCACAAAATGTGATGTTTGGATCCAAAACTTCTGGTAAACTGGACGATTTACATCCACAATTTTTGATAATAATCCGTTGTTGACACAATTGAAGACAAGAAAAAAATGTGTTCTTGTAACTCTTGTATCCATCTAACTCCTTATTTGTACAATTTCCAAACGGTTCTGAAAGACGCGTATGCATCACAGCGTTTAATCCAATCGAAGATGAATATCCTGGCGGCACATCGAAACCGTGATCCACGGGACTAGGCATGGTGTTAGGTGCATGTATCACTACGCGGACTCCAGCACTGTGTAGAATATTAGAATTAATATGATACATTCCGTATGTTCCATATGGAGGGTCGTCGTTATCCAAAGAAAGAATTAACGAGAGGCCATTTTGAGGACCAGTGGCGTGCATGAGTAATTTTTCCACAGAGCCACTATTAAATGTGTAACAACTATAATAATTTCCGTCAAAAAAACTGGTGAAATTGGCCACGGAACACAATTCTTGGTTAAACCGACAATGAATCATAAAATCGTTGATATCGTGGCTTAAATTTTCTGCTGCATCGCCCAGATTTTCATAAAAAGCGCGGATCGATGTTAAGTGGGCTTGCTGCGGACCGAAATTAAAATGGTTGACGAACGTTAACCACTGCACTAAATCACTTTCAGAATTGTTTATCATTAGACGTAATTTCCGTAAAGAAATGGGTTCAATATTGCACACGGTCACCGAGGGAAACTCGACAGGCATGCTGTCTTTAATCTCTGACACCTCTACGACTTGAAACTGAAGATATTTTCTCACCAGTAATGATAATTGTAACGTAGCAGCAGTAAATCCGATAATCACTAATAAGGCCCAGATCACTTTCCGTTTGGTCTCTCGTGATGTCACTACTCTCGCTAATCCATGAGCGTTACTTTCCGATCCCAGCTCCGCCACAAGGGAGAGTACTGTTTGATTTTTTCCCGTGTTTCGATGCACCATCCTATAATGGTCATTCCAATATCCAAATTTATTGACTCCTGTGAATTTCATGTGTTCTGATTTTTGACCCCTGCAAATAGAAAAAACAAAATGTTAGTATGAATTTTTTTTTTTTTCAAAAATCAGCAGCCTTCAGAACATTGTTTTTAACATAAGAATATCATTCATTCATTCATTCATTCATTCAGATATCAATGATTGCAATTTTTCATTTTCATTCATTCATTCATTTTAGAATAATTCATTCATTCATATTACATTATTCATTCATTTATGTTCATCCATCATCATGGTGAAAAATAGTTTAGCCCAAACTTCCTCCAATCCCTTTTCCAGTTATATATGATTGGCAAATAACTGGACATGACTGGCAAATGACTGGTAAATAAGATCAAATCAACTGTGTACAGTTGCATTCAATGAAGTGTAAAAAGAAGATAAAGCTGAGTTCTATCTAGTAAATCAGGGGAAATTGCTAATCATTGCTTTGATGTATACAGACAGATTGAATCAAACAGTACAATGCTTCATTAGCATCTTAAGATGTGGCCGCTTGTTTGATTGTATGCTTAATTTCCTTCCAAATGGTCGTTTGATTCAGAATGTGCTGTTTATTGATAAAGAGATTGGACATTAGACATATGGTAAAACTTTGTTCTTGTAATCTAGTAGGTTGAAAGCCAGTTATGATTTGACCAATGACCATGGCTTGGAAATTTTACAATATACCTGATCATAACTTATATTTTATAAAGTACTGAATAACTTCTATTTTATAAAGTACTGAATAACTTATATTTTATAAAGTGCTGAATAACTTCTATTTTATAAAGTATTGAATAACTTCTATTTTATAAAGTGCTGAATAACTTATATTTTATAAAGTACTGAATAACTTATATTTTATAAAGTGCTGAATAACTTATATTTTATAAAGTACTGAATAACTTATATTTTATAAAGTGCTGAATAACTTATATTTTATAAAGTACTGAATAACTTCTATTTTATAAAGTATTGAATAACTTATATTTTATAAAGTGCTGAATAACTTCTATTTTATAAAGTACTGAATAACTTCTATTTTATAAAGTACTGAATAACTTCTATTTTATAAAGTACTGAATAACTTATATTTTATAAAGTGCTGAATAACTTATATTTTATAAAGTACTGAATAACTTCTATTTATAAAGTATTGAATAACTTATATTCTAGAGATATAAAGTATGAAGATTGATATAACTTACTGTTGGTGATATTGTTTATCCATCCTATGATGACAGGTATCATGATGTGATGATGATAACAACGATATAAAATTCTCACTATTGTTATTTTCAATTTTCTCCATATTGTTTCAAGTTATTAATTATTGGGGGATAATAGACATACAATAATCCCTAACGAACCTGTATTAATATCAGTCTAAATTGGTATTGATACGAAACTAATATCAAACTAATCAGTAGGTATCTATTGTCAATATTAGTTAATTATTATATTTCATACTTCAATCTTCTTCTAAACACCTGCTGTCATCCCAGTCAGATTTTCATATAATGTATTTTCTTATTAAAGGGACATGTTCTTCATTTTCGGAGGTTGCTTTGTGTCTTGTTATATATAAATTGTCTCCAGAGGTACTAGAAATGTGCGAAAATTTGTTTAAGAATACTGCAAACTAGGCATTTTTCTTTCTATTTCTAGTGATGTCTTTTCAATATATAGCAGTCTCAAGAAAGGGTCATTCTTTTAACTTTCAAACACTTGGATTAAAAGGCTCGAATTTCGACAGTGAACTGTGAACACTTTTACCGATTAGCTTTGCTTAAAAAATCCTGATTCTGGGACTAAGCTTGGTCAAACAGAAGACAAAGCTGTCTCTTTAAAGAAGAAGTCTGTATCAGTCTCTAATTAACAAGAAGTATTAAAGTCAAGTCTTTCTTTAGACACACATGTTTAAATTTCTATTGATATTTTATAATTGTTTATATAATATATATTATTGGGAAAGTAATCATGGTTTAAAACAGCTAGATCACTGATAACTTTGGAGAACTTGAAAGACACAATTTCAGATGACTTTGAATAGCAATATAGCAAGGGATCTTTAACATAGCACAGTTAACTTATAATTAGCTCAGTTAGATTATAAAAAGCACAATCACAGATAACTTTGAAAATATACACAGTTGCTGGAGGCTTAAGATATCTTACAAGGCACAGACAAGGATAACTTTGGATAACTCAATTGTATTAACTTTAAATATCACAGTTGAAGATAAATTCGATCTGACACAATTGAAGTCATCTTTGAAATATTGTAGTGGTAGATAATCTTGGATAACTTTAGAAATTACACAATAATAGTTCAGTTAGAAATATTGCTGTTGTAGATAACAACATAAGGTGTTTCTATATAATACTTTTTCACTTTGGATAACTTAAAACTTGCACAATCTACAAAATAATCAGAGTTGAAGACTGTTGCACCTTCAAAACAATATTAGAACATTTTTTTATGACGTCTGTTAGTTTTTGTTGGCGTCTGCTAATATTTAAACTCAATATATATGAATTATTCAAATGATTTTAACTGTATCATTATTCATTATTTACATAATATATAATTTTCTTTAATTATCAAGGCACTAGGTTAATTCAAAAAGGCACAAAAGGTTTAGAAATTTCTTGCGAGGTTTTAATCCATTCCAAAATTCAATGAAGTTCCTGAAAATTGTCGGGAATTAAGTTCCAATTTCTTCAATTATCATAAATTCCACTTCTGTTCTTTTGGACCTATGGTTATGGTCTCAATTATAAAAATTGTTCACTTTATTGATAGCTAGCTTTAATGTTATTGATTGTCAATATAGAATGTTGATTTTAAAATGCTCAGGGTCAGAAAAGTGTCATTTTTGTAGAAATCTGTTACTTAAATAGAACACTCAATCCAAATTTCCAATTTTTCAAGATCAACAATTTACATTCCATTGTTAATATGTAATCCTTGATCAACAATTTCCATGCCACTATCCTAACAACCTCCTAATTCCAATATAACACAATTTTCCAGATTAACAATTGACTTGTTTTATATCCTGATATTGTTAATGTTATTCCAAGATTAACAATTTACATTTCTTACGTTCTTATTCCAACAAATTCCGATATTCAATGGAACACAATAATCCACTTTTTTCAGATCAACAAAATAATATTTCCATTTTTTTTATATGTTAATATTATTTACTTGATCAACAATTTACATTGTCATAGCCAAATATTGATAAAGAAATTCCTAAATGCCACTATCCTGTAAACTGTTGAAGTCTGAGTTAACCATTGAACCACTGTTACCAGTAGTAAAATAATTCCCTCACTACCTATACAGTGTATTAATAGTATACCAGAACAGAACTTTCCATTCATAGTAAATACCAGCTTGATTCACTTGGGATGTATTGGCTATATAGTGGCTTGTATAGGAGTCATATTGGTTTGTATAAAAGGGCCCATAGAAGGAGTTGTGTTGGCTTGTCTAGAAGGGTTTTGTGGCTTGCAAAAAAGCAGTTACTGTGTTGCATAGAAGGGCTTGTTTAAAAAGAGCAATTTTGGCTTGTATAAGGAAAGAAACGTTGGCTTGTATAGAATGGCTTGTGTGTAAGGAGCCATGGTGGCTTGTATTGGATATTGTGACTGGCTTGTATAGGAGCTTAGGCATAGTGGCTTATAGAGAAGGAACCATGCTAGCTTGTATAGAATGAGCCATAATGGCTTGTACAGAAGGAGCATAGTGGCTTGTATAGAAGGAGCATAGTATCTCGTACAGAGGGAGCCATAGTGGCTTGTAAAGGAGCCCACATTGGCTTGTACAGAGGGAGCCATAGTGGCTTGTAAAGAAGGAGCATAGTAACTTGTACAGAGGGAGCCATAGTGGCTTGTATAGAAGGAGCATAGTATCTCGTACAGAGGGAGCCATAGTGGCTTGTATAGAAGGAGCATAGTAACTTGTACAGAGGGAGCCATAGTGGCTTGTACAGAAGGAGCATAGTAACTTGTACAGAAGGAGCATAGTAACTTTAAATAAAGGATATCGTTCTACCTGAAATTACTAATTAAAATGACTTTTTACTCATCACCTCTTTTCTTAGAATTGTAGTACCTTGCGATTGGAATGAAATTCAATAAGTTTTTTGTATCAAGACAGTACTTATCTCACAGCATGTTTTAATTAGCCCAACATGGAACCTAGTAGGTGATAACAGTATTTATAATGAATATATTTCACTGTTAATATCTCTACCATATGGACCACTGTGAAAATAACACTCTTGATAATGTGCCTATTGAAGTGTGTTTTTTTCTTTAAATTTTCTCCTATATAATTGATGCTACATCTTAGAATGAACATAAAAGTTCTCAAGAATGGTCAATATGAGTATTCATCAGTGAACTTAACTGGTGTCATAAGTTACAACAGAATCCCTGTGAAATCTGGAAATTGGAAATTCATAAACTAAGTAATTATTGCAAAACGGTTGATTTTGATATTAAGCATTCTTCAATAGTAAATTACATATTTATGGATAATTATTAAGTTTTTTGGATATATTGGATTATATAATGATCCTGTTAAGTTATTTATGACACCAGCTTTCTTGGCAATATGTCCCTGATTGGACACTGCATGGCAATGCCTGTCTTTATGAACACAATCAAGGGCATAAAAGTAGGACGTACAACCCAATTACATTTGGCCAAGTTGATACAACTATAGTATGAAAAAGCAAGAAAAACTAATTCAATATTCCGACAAATCCTACATCAATGAGTTAAAGGAAATGAGCCTCAACCGACCTTTACATGGAAGCCATGTTTATTACATACTGTAATCTGCAGCAAATTACTAAATCTTTTTTTATCCTTCAACATTCTATCGCGTAATTTTATTGGATTAAGTTGGCAACAAATATAGTGTCAAATGTAAAATGGCG